TTTCTTAAGTCATTAAACCTTTCTTACCTTTCTACCCCCAACCACACTCTCAATCAGTCTATTAAGTTTTGACTTGACTTTTTCCCTCTTCCTTCTTCCCTTCCTGTCTCCCATGACTCTGGTTGTCCCTCTCTTCTAGCCTCCATGGCTATAAATCTGTGGGGGAAATCTCTCATTTTGTTACTAAGCAGGTACAACTCTGGATAGTACTGTAGTACCAGATAGCCTTGGACCACAACAAAAAGCTGCACTCTTGGGCAGTCATGATGACTGTTTCCCTGGAAGTGTTTTAACAACTGATTCTTCATCATAGTGATTGTCTAATCACCCACAGTTCTTCCCTCTTGAAGCTTCATATTCTCTGTCAAGAGACTTCTAGCTCCTAATTCCACTATAAGCTAGTGAGAAGTTTTTATTGCGACTAAATTCCTCCAAACTGCATGTTTTAAGGGGGGGTGGGAAGTAGCCTTCAAAGGGGAGCACTGTACTTATAAACTAAATCTGAATGAGAACCTTAGTGTGCCTCTATTGCAGAGCTAAACAATAGATTATAGCTTGGGCCAGGCTAAAAATGTCTCCCCCATAGTCCTGAGCAAAAACTGCTCTAAATGTCACATGTGCAACAAGAAAATCACTTGTGTGCATGCTACTATGTCTGACTCTCAGACTTCCAAAGTGAGAACAGACCACTTTAAACCTGTCTGGCTATTGTTTTTACTAAATTCCTGTTTGAATGAAAATTGGAACACTTAAATTCTAGCTTAAACATCTGAATCAAACTATTAAACCAAAACATGACTGAGTTAGCTTTAATCATATAAAGTCTTATAATTGTATAGAGGCTCTTAAAGTAGAAACTTTTTTTTTCATTAAATGATGATAATGTCTAAAATGCAACAAACTAGCCTGATTATCTTCTAGGGAAAATGCTTTTTATTTTGGAGTAGCAATAAAAAGGGCTCAGAAAATAAAGAGGCCAGCGTGGCCTTCTCAGCAAAACCACTGCCTCCAGTTAAGAGGAAGGTGCTGCACGAAGCCAGCTTGTAGGTGGGTACCCAGTCAAGGTAAAGCTTGCATGCTGTAAGCAAAACTAACAAATGGTGCTCAAGTTTGCTATGGAAACTAAGCTCTCACTGCCCAATAAAAAAATACATGTGCTTTTTGCAAGCTTTGCTTGTGCTTTTAGCTTGAGCAAGCTCCTTGCAGCAACTACCAAGGAAGTGCCAGGGGTAGGACAGAATGCATCCTTGAGTTTGAGGCAGAACAAGAGAGCTGATGGTAATATTGGGTGGTGGACTTAAGGTGTTTGCAATGTTGGTTGGGAATGTGGAGGCTCTTCTGGCAGGCTGTGAGGATGAGCAAAGAGGGGAAAGACCATATGGATCAGACCCATGGCCTGGCACTTCTGAAAAGCGATTTGCATGGGGATGGGGAGAGTAAGTTGGACACTACATACAGGCAGTAAGAGGGATTTGGGCAACCTCTTCAAAGATTTCATTTGGGAATGATGACTGAAGGTCTGCCTTGGCCAATACAATGTGTGCATATGTCTCCTACCAAGATGGCCTTGCTGTTGGAGCTTCCTTCTGAGTGTCCTACCTATAAGGAGGAAAACCCTATCTTTTAGAATGGGTGTCACCTCAGGGAGACTACCTTCCCTGGGTAAAGGGGTGATAATCTCTTATTAGACCAAGTAAATACTGTTCTCTGCAAGTTTTCAGGCATAGGGTCAGTCTGCTGGGGTTCATGTCTTCTCCTGGGTGGAAGAAGAGCCAAGATGCAAAATGCACTTGAGGCAGTATGAATGCTTGGCTTGGAGGCTCACTTCCTCCAAGAGATCACTTGGTGGAGGATCTCTACCTAGTGTCTTGCATCCGTGTACAAAAATGGGTGGCATGGGGGCAAGGATACCCCCTTGGTTAGGTGACTATCTTGGCTAGATTGGGGGGGGCTGTGCCCTGTGGCCAAGTCCTTATTCCATATCTGGATGTCTTGTGCTTGCTTTTTGCTCTTCTGGAACACCTTCATGGCAATCTGGGCCAAGTAAAAGACTGTCTGCGAATGAAGCAGCAGGTTGCTATCTACTAAAGTGTAGCTGGAAAGACCTTTCATAAGTGAAAGGCTCTCTCAGCAACCCTCTGCCAGGAGTGAACAAACTGTCCTCTGATCTGTTGCTCTTGCAGTGTCATTTTAAATTGCCAGGGCTCCAACCTAGAAGGGCCTGGCACTTGCAGTAGTCCAAGACGTATAATAAAATAACACCCATGTTGAAACCTACAGCTGAAATTCCTTTTGGCATGGTTGTAGAGTAGTCCCTGTTGAAGTGACGTGGATGCCAATGTCTGCACGGGTAGAAGAGTGCTGGCTCTTCCCAGTAGGTTTTGGGGGGAGGGGGGCGCGGTGCTGACTTAATGGAAATGTTCCTACTTCTCTCATTGGTCAGAGTGGGTTTCCCCACCAGTTGCTGCTAAACAGCTCTACTCCAGTCCCTGTTGTGAGACTTGAGCACAAAGCTCCTAATGCTTCTTAGCAGCTCTAGTTATTGGGCAGATGCTGGTGTCTGCCTGCACCATAATGAGCCACCTCTAACTCAGCTTTTTTTCCCTTCAAACCAGAGAGGGGCTAGAAAGAAGAGTCCAAAGGACCAAGGCCTACCAAATGGATCACCTCAGTACTCTGAAACCAGTCCACTCCTGCAGGATACCAATACACGGAACCAGATGGAGACTGCCAAAGCCTGAAGTGCCAGCCTTGAAGAGCAGCTCTCATTAGTGCATGTCACTACACTCAGGGATATGAATGAAAAGCAGTTCTTAAGAAGGAACCTCTTGGATGCATCCAGTTGAGAACTAGACCTCTTGCCTCCAGTCTTGCATCAAGCACAGAACATGCTCAAAGAGCAGTTGGACACTGCCACAGCAAACCTGCCCATCGTATTCTCCTCTCATGTCTTTGTGCAGATGACTTCAAAGGACTATTCCTGGCACGATGACTGCAGGTGCCTTACAGCTGTTTGGCTGCCTGCCTGCTGGGCAGAAACAAAGACAGAACTTCCAGGCAATCTCCTAAAGAGTCCTCCCCTGCAGCCGTACTCCTGGTTTGCCTACTTAACAGTAAACAAGGCACTTTAATACCCAGCCCTAAAACAGAGGAGGTGCAGCTCTGTTTTATAAGCTGGCAAGTGCTGCTCTTTTTTAAAAAAAAAAAAAAAGAGGGGAAGATGCTCATCCTATGTGCTGCTCAAGGTGTGGGTAAAGGGGCTTATTGCACTCGACTACTTCTGGCTACAGTTTCTAAACCTCCTGAGGCACCAGGGAAAATAAGCTGACTTGCCAACTCTCCAGTAACAAATCCATCACCCCCACCCCCCCCAGTGGAGTAAGTTTGGTGTTTGTTTTTTCTGGAGATCTTCACTGGGGCTGACTTGAGTCAGCAGTGTCCATGCATCTAAGGGGCCACACACTACCAGGTTTTAAATTTGTGCCATGCTATTAAAGACTGCTGTAACTTTCTTAATGGATGCTTCAGACTGAAGGCTCATTCTTAACTGTATTAAAGCTCTAACAGGGTTGAGTGAGGTTTTTTTAATCTGGCTTGCAATGCTGTCATGTGCTCAATCACAAGATTGGGTCCTTGTGACTTACCACTAGAATATTTAAGCTGCTGTTCAGTACAGATGGCTATATTTTTTTTTTTCCCCTTAAGGAGGTGTGACTTCTCTTATAGGAGTCTCTTGGCTGTCCTGAATGCTGGCTGTGAATGTCAAGCCCAGGTGCTGTCCAGCTTCTCTGTGCCAGAGCTCTTCAGCCTCACTAGTAGTATGGACATGAGCAGAAGACTTGTCTGTAGGGCAGGAAGTGGTGTATGGTCAGAACTTTTTCAGGCCTAGATTAGTTGACACTAATCAGCCCCTAGTGGCACTTCTTCTTTTTTTTT